AAATGATATATACACAACACTAAGCAGATTCAGCAGGTTATGTTTGTATATTTAAGCATGTGTACACACATATGCATATATAACAACAATAATAAGAGAAAAACAGGCCATCAGTTTGAGAGGAAATGCCAGGGGGAAGACATGGGAGGGGATGGAGGCAGGAATGGCAAAGAGGGAGGTGATGAAATTATATTAAAATTAAAAATTAAAGATAAAAATCAATTAGTATTTAAAAATCAGCTTTCTTTTTTTCTTTCAAGTTCATGATTGTGTAGTATTATATTCATCCATATATCTTTTCTGTAAGGACGATATTTTAAAAAATTGTGAGTGCCTATATAGACACTCAATGACTGTTACACTGACCTAGTGTTGATAATATAACACCAGTTAAACTTAATTAGTATAATTAATTTACATAGCCAAGTAGCAGTTTTCAGGGCTGAGGGTGTGGCTCAGTGATAAAGCACTTGCCTAATATATTAAGGCTCTGGGCTCCATCCACCACAAAACAAAACAAGTTGTCTTGTGATCATTGTTATTACATGTTGCCGTATTCTGTTATATTTATCTGTTTATCAGTGTGGTAGTCATGGTGTCAGTGATGGTGGTGGTGGTGGTGGTGGTGTGTGTGTGTGTGTGTGTGTGTGTGTGTGTGTGTGTGCACCCGCGCATGCAATTAGACCACGGCATGCATGAGGAGGCCAAAGCTATGGGTTTGTTCTTTCCTTCTACTGTGTGGATCCCAGAGATTTTACTCAGGTCATCATCAGGCTTAATGGCAACCACCTTTACCTGATAAGCATCTTGCCCGCCCTGTCACCATGCTCTCACGTAGTTTTGAGAATTTTGTGTTATCTCATGGTCCATTATCATCACTTCCCATTGATGACTGAAAATGCCTTGATCTTTCCAACTTCACCCTTTATTTTTACTTAGCCCTCCCCATTCTAAGCTGCTGGATTCTGAATAATACTTGCTATATACCCCTCTGATCCCATTATCCTTCACATCTCAGGTCTGAGATGGCTTCCTCTAGTGTCCCCTAGAGGGAAGTTCCAAAGGCACTTCACACACTGCAGGGAAAGTTCATTCTGCACAGCACTGTGGGTCTCTTGAGATGTATGACAGATCTTTCTCTTGTCTAGAGCTTCAATGTGGTATTCTGTGAGGTCATATAATTATTAATTTTCCTAGAATAAAGGAATGGTTGGTGTTATGTAATTTTTTTTTTTTTTTTGGTTTTTCGAGACAGGGTTTCTCTGTGGCTTTGGAGGCTGTCCTGGAACTCGCTCTATAGACCAGGCTGGCCTCGAACTCACAGAGATCCGCCTGCCTCTGCCTCCCGAGCGCTGGGATTAAAGGCGTGCGCCACCAACGCCCAGCTGTTATGTAATATTTTATCTTGTTGATGGTTTCTTTAATCATCTGCTGGTTTGGGATATTTTGTCATTGGCCAGATTGACCTCTGGAATTAATCACCACCCACCTCTACTTAAAGGCGTTTTAAAGGTCCTTTTGAGTTCTAGTTCTTGCTAATTCACTAGAGATTTGTCCCTCTTTGCTTCATTCTAGCTAGAATTGATGTACCCAGTTTGGCTTTGTTTGATTAGAACTTGAAGACAAGTAGGACTTGCTGCTATCATTGGAACAGTACAAAGAACGACCTCCAAAAGCTTCTGAAGGGAGTGTGTGTGCAAGAACATCACCTTGTCTATCCCCCTAAACTCACAGTCTGATGACATTGCCTTTCCCAGCTATAGAGAAGCACATTAAGTGCAAAGTAAAACAATAGGAGTCTGGAGAGATGTCTCAGCAATGGGGTACTTACCGCTGCTCTTGATGAGGACATGGATTCAGCTCCCAGTACCCACATGGTGGCTCACAACTCCCTATAATGCCAGTTCCAGGCAGTCCTTTTCTTCTGGCATCTGTGGGCACCAGGTACTCACAGGATGCACACACATAGACACGGGCAAGACACACATACATGTAAAAATAAACAATGCTTTAGAAAAAACAGGAAACCATTTTTTACTTGTCACAATGGTAACATTGGGGTTTGTTTGTTTGTGTGATTGATTGGTTGGTTAGGCTCTTAAATTTAGTATTATTCTAAAGATAGTAAAGGAAGGCAGATTCAATGGCACACACCTGCAAGCCCAGATCTCAAGTCAAAGGCGGGAGTGCCATGGCTAGTTCAACGTCAGTCTTGTCTGTGCAGTGGGTTCTAGGCCAGTCAGAGCTACATGATGAGCCTCTATCTCAAAAAAGTAAAGTAAAATAAATAGATAATAACAAACAAGAAAAATAAAGATAGCAAAGGAAAAATTAATGCAAGCTTAAACTCAGTTTCTCCTCCTGTACGCTTAAAGCACAGCTCAGGCTTAACACCAGCTGTGTGGGTTTCCCCATAATATCAAGCAAGTTATCCATTCTGTAGCAGATGTCAGTCAGATGTCTCCTAATCCAGGTCACTTCTGACAGTGTATAGCTGATGATAGCATCAGACACTACAGGTTGGGATCTCTGTCCCTGAGATGCTTCCAAACACTCTTAGTTTTACCTGTGACTTGACCAAGCTCCAGTAAATCAGGGGGCTCACAAATCCTACAGGATTCATTGATTTCATTGAACAGATCTAAGAGAAAACTCAAATTTACCAGTTTATTATAGAGGATATTATTAATTGAAATGATACAAAGAAAGAGATACATTTCAAGGTATGTGAGAAGGGTCTTGGAGGCACTCTTCAGGAGCGTCCATGGGTTCTGCTACCTAGGATTTCTATCAAAACTGTCCTTTGGGGTTCTTATGGGGACTTCTGCATAAGTAGAATTGGACAATTGTGTATAAAGGTGATTGGACAAAAGGGAGCAAGCTGATGCTAATACAGACAGAGAAGCCCAGCCAGACCTGTCTGTCTAGAGCCTTCTTGGCATCTCTGTGATGTATGCCTTCCTCCTAGGTATGAGCCCAAGTTCTTGTTTGCATTAAGAAGTGGGAGAGTCTCATGTTCTACTGTCACCCTACTTCAGAGCCAGCTGTAAGACAGAAAGGTAGGGGGAAATTAGTTTCTATATGACCCAAATTGGTGTAGTAAATTGTAATTTTAATGATTTAATTTGGGCAAAAAGTTAAGAACCAGAAATCATGAATGACAACAAAATCCTCACAAATCATATATGTAACACATATACATACATATGTACATATGATTGCTATATGTATATATGTGATATATGTCATAGTATGTCACACATTGCCCATGTGAATGGGAAAGCAGGCATTTGTATAGTATTGACAGGTGTCTCAATTTGCTTTCTATTGTGGTAAAATGCTGGCCAGAACCAACTTGTAGAGGAAACTTTTTATCCAGCTCATACAGCCTGATTATAGTCAATCACTGAGGCAAGTCAAGGCAGGAACCCAGGCAGGAGAAGAGTCAGGAACCATGGAGAAAATACTTACTTGCTTGGCTCTAGGCTCACATTCATTATTTGCCTTCTACTTCCCAGGTCCACCTTGTTGTGTGACACTGTTCATGGAAAGACATGGACAAGCATCTACTCACCCCAGATAGGGAACCAGTAACTTTCCAGAGTAAGGAGACTACCAGATTCTAATTAGTGAAACAGTGTGCTTTATTTGGGTTCCTTACAGGAATATGGGTGAGGGGTTGCTTATAGGAGCAGAAATGACTCAAGACAGCTGCATCATCAAAGCCCACATCATCATTGGTGACAGCTCACAAGAGCAGGAAACCTGGAACACACTGCAAACCTGCAGGTAACCCAATAGGTTGGAGAGCATCCTGTCCAGGTGGCTCAATTGGACTGAGCCTCTTCCAAACAGCTCGGCTTGTTTAAGAGTCTTCTAGGCAGCTTGTCTTGTCTCTCGGTAGTATTTACTTTCTATTTACGCTTGGGATGGAGGGGACCTAGTGAGTCTTCTCAGTTTCAGGGACTTCCTGAAGCTATTTTGAGCGCTTAGTTCCTGGGTTTAATGAACAGTGGTTCCCAACTTGTGGGTTGTGACCCTTGTGGGTTGCTACTGCTTAGGGGTTGAAGGATACTTTCACAAGGTTTGCATAACAGTTATTCAAATTATGACTCAAAACAGCAGCAAAATTACAGCTATGAAATAGAAATAAAAATAGTTTTGTTTCCTAGGTGTAATGGTTTGAAATAAAATGGTCCCCAAAAGGAGTGGCACTGTTAGGAGGTGTGACCTTGTTGGAGGAAGTATGTCACTGTGGGAGTGGGCTTTGAGGTCTCATGTAAACTCAAATCATTCCTAGTGAGACACCTTCTTTTTCTTAGCTGTGGAACAGTTTCCAGGAGCTAATTTGGTGTATGTTTGACACTTCTTTGTGCTATGACTAACTATTTGTGCTTGAAATGCAGTTTGACAGTCCCCAGGCCACTAGGAATTGCTTCTTAAAAAGTATGTGGTCAGCCGGGCGTTGTTGGCACATGCCTTTAATCCCAGCACTCTCGAGGTAGGGGCAGGCAGATCTTTGTGAGTTCGAGGCCAGCCTGGTCTACAAGTGTGAGTTTCAGGACAGTCTCCAAAACAATACAGAGATACCCTGTCTCAAAAAAAAAAAGTAGGTGGTCCTGTTCCTTCTCTGGATTGGCACATAACTCTCATGTTTTTAGAGATATTTCCCTTTTCTTTATTGTTAAAAATGTCTTTCATATATGTTCACAATGAAGTGTGATCATAGCTGCTCCCATTTTCCCCTCCAGCTCTCATACCCTCAATGCATCCTCCTCTTACCAACCTTGTTCACATCCTTGTTTTTCTTCTTCTTTTTTTTTTTTTTTTTTTTTTTTTTTTTTGGTTTTTTCGAGACAGGGTTTCTCTGTGGCTTTGGAGGCTGTCCTGGAACTCACTTTGTAGACCAGGCTGGCCTTGAACTCACAGAGATCCACCTGCCTCTGCCTCCCAAGTGCTGGGATTAAAGGCGTGTGCCACCAACGCCCGGCCTTGTTTTATCTTCTTATAACCACTCAGTCTGGTTGGCGCTGCCCATGTGTGCTTCAGTGTGGGGTCTCCACAGAAGCATGCAACCCACCATGGCCTCACACTCAAATGTTCCTTTATTTTTCCCCCCCCTTAGGAACAGGATTTAACTAATACTGCAGACTCTTGACTCTCCAGCAGGGGACAACCATTTCTCCTATGCTTCTCTGGCCTGGCTCCTCAGCTCATAGCACAGACTGCCCCAAATCCACCTCAGGGAAGCCAGACAGTCCTCAGAGACCACCTCATGAGAACACAGGTATGGCACACACTAGGAGCCTGTTTCTCCTTCAGGCAATTGACCCTAAATGTGGCTCTTTCTAGCAGCTTCCACACTCTTGAATCAAACCCTGCTGTCTCAGATGTCTGGAACTTCAAAGTGGAGAAATCCATCCTTGTGTTTGCAAGAGCTGGAGAGAGCAGGTTATTTAGGAAGAAGCGTCTTGAAGTCTTCCGCTTTATTCTCTTCCGAGAGGAACAAGAGCATGGGCGTGTAGGCTCCATGCCTCACACAGAGCCTTGGGAATTGACTGGTGCTCTTAAGAACGCCTGGCACCGAGCCACTCACAAACAACAGATGGTCATTTAGGCTCATGCTTCTTCTGGAGGCTGAAGAGTTTGGGTTGGGCAGCTAACTACATCTGGTGAGGGCCTCATGCTTCTTCAGCTCTTGTCAGGAGACACTGCCAAGTAGTTCTGAGTGAGAGAAGAGAACAATAGGAGACAGGGTTGTTACAGAAATCTGTCCTGAAGATAACCACGCCATCTTGAGTGAATCACACTAATGCCTTCCTGAGGGTAGAGCCCCCCCCACCCAACCTATCCAAACAGTCTTGAGGACTCTATCATCTCTATACAAGTATGCTGGCAAATTTCAGTATGAAGCTGGGCATAGTGGTAGAGACCTTAATCTTGGCACTCTGGAGTGCAGGAGGGGCTCAAGCTCAAGCACCCTCCTAAAATCAATATGAATCTTGGCAGAGACTAATCACATCCTCATCTCAGTATGACACTATGACACTTGCCTCTGAAACACCTGACCAAGAAGTACTCAAATCACATCTTGTGAGTCACGGCTTACTATGCTTCCTGGAGTCCAGCACTTACGTCCTAGGCAAGCACATTCCCAATGATTCACTTGAAATCAATTAATTTCAAGAACTGTGGTTGGTTGAATGCTGGCACGTAACAGCCACTTGGGAGCACTGGCTTGCATGCTTTTTACCTTCCTTTATTCTTACATTCTTTCCCCTTCCTTCCTTTGTTCCTTCATTCCTTCCTTTCACTTTTCACAGGGCCTCACTATTTAGTCCAAGCTGGTTTTGAATTTGAGATCCCCATCTCTGGAGTGCTGGAATTACAGATGTGTGTATCATTGAATCTGGTAGCAACAGGGGTTTGGGGCTTTTTTTGTGTGTGTGTGGTTGTTGTTGTTTTGTTTTTAATTATATTCAATCTTTTGTTAGTGATTTAAAATCTTCAATGCCTAAAATCAGAAGAAATGTGTGAAACAGTCATTGGAGAGATGTGAGTGTCCCCAGTGGCACTTTTCATAAACTCAGATGTTATGCCCCCTCTAAGGCCTGGGGGGGGGGGTCTAGTTTTATATTTTTCTGTTTTTTTGTTTTGTCTTGTTTTGTTTTGTTTTTGAGACAGGGGTTATCTATGTAGCCCTGGCTGTCCTGGAACTCACTTTGTAGACCAGGCTGACATCAAACTCAGGGATCTGCCTGCCTCTAGTTTTATATTATTAAGTTGGTAAGGTTTTTTTGTTGTTGTTGTTTTTTTTTTTCCAAATGAGCTCCCTCTTCCCCGTTTTTATGATCCTTGGTCTCTGAGAAAGTTGGCTTCCTTCTTGCTATGGAGTCCCACCCCTTCCTGTTTTCTCCTCTCTTCTCCCCTCCCCTCCTCTCCTGTCCCATCTCCTCCCCTCTCCTTCTCTTCCCTTCCCTTTGCTTATCTTCTTCTCTCTCAGGCACCCTTGACCTCTATAGGATGAACATGGAAGCAATCTTCAAGTTGGCACAATTCTGAAAGTAGACCCAGGATACAGGTCTAAGGCATGGGCCTGCCACCAGCTGTTGGCATGATGGAGCCAGTGACTTCACACCAAAGTCCCTGTCCAAAACAGTTGTTCCTATACCCACTGCCCTGCACCAGGGCCCTTCCTACACTTGCACAACAGCTTACAATCCTGGGCTTGTCCCTTCTGGCATTCTGCAACCTTCCCAGGCCCTGCTGGTGCTCTGTTTCTCACAGAGGACTTCAGGGGCTAGGATGGGCCTCCTGGGTCCTATGCCTAGGCTTTCCTGTCTCCTGTTGAATTGGATGGAAGCAATTGGCAGGTCATAGCACTATGCTGGATCCCTTCTGCAGTGACTTTGTTTTAAACAGAAACTACTGTTCTGCCTGATGGTGGAGCTCTTAGGTGAATCTCCAGACAGCAGGATCAAGTATGCAGCGCAAAGGTCCCTGCCAGGTCCCGAAGCTGGAGTTCCTTCAGAGTTCCTTGAGGTACCAGCAGCCACTGTCTATTGTTCTCGAGTAAGAGATACCACCCAGCCCCCATGCCTACCAACATGGGCACAAGGGGAAATTTGTCTCAGTCAGAATGTCATCTGTACTACACAGGTGTCCAATGGGAATGGTGGCAGTGGTGGAACTGTCCTTGCCTGCAGTGACATCTGCTCCACACTCCTTCTCTGATCACGGCCCCAGTGTTGCTAGAAATAGGGCTGTGCTTAGCTGAAGGATCACACATCCCTATCTCTGGTTAGTTGGATATGATCATCTGGTCAAGTTCTGACCAATGAGGTAGGTGTAAACAGAATGTTCCAGAAGACATCAAGAGTACTCTAAAAGTAAGAAACATCATTTCCCTTCCTCTCTCACGTTAGCAATGTGAGCATGGCACCTGCTGAGCCTGCAGCTATCTTGGGTCTGAGTGTACCAGAGAGATAACAGGTGCACCTGATGACTTCATGGTCCCCTCCATCAGTCCAGGCTGCCTCCCACTATTCTTACTTTCTGTGTAAAAAATAAATCTTGTTTAAGCCACCATCTCTCAGCTCATTGTCGCCCATAGCTGAATAGTCCTCACTAATATAATGGTAACAGTCAAATTCCCACATCTTAGAGAAAGGACTCAGCAGATAAACATAGGTCAAAGTCTGCGAGAGGTAGAAACAATCTTTACCTTCTCAACATCCACTCAGTTAACATGGCAGGATGCTGAGGGTCGGAGGGAAGGATTGACAGAATGACAAAAAAACGGGCAGGTTCTGTGGCCTTGGTATAGCTGCCTTGGCCTTTAAAACATCAGTAAGCGTGACTGGTCCCAGGTCAATACACATGCTTCTTAGCAACTGTGGACACCAAATAATACCCTGTAACAGATGGTGTGCATTTAGAACACTTGGAGCTTGAAGGAAACCAGATAAGACTAGAAAGACTAGAAAGCACCCTCATTCCCAGATAAAGTGATGCATGCATTACACACACACACACACACACACACACACACACACACACACACACACACAGTAAGGACCTACTCAAGACAACATTCATGTAAACCTTGCTTCGCAGACAATGCACAGTGCCCTCCCCACCTACCTCTCCATCTTCCATAGTCAGTTGTCCTCCATCAACAGTAGTCCAAAGCATTCTCATAGCACAATAAGGAATTGTATTTGGAGAGCAGGAGAGACAGGGGCCACACTTACATAATCCTTATTACTGTATATCGTTAGCACAATTCTATTTTATTATTAGCTAGTTTTGTTAGCCTCTAACAGTGCCTAATTTATGAAGTAAGCGTTATGAAAAACATGCAGAGAAATACCATTGTATATATAATTTGGAACTTTCCATGACTTCAGGTATCTCTTGGAGGGAGGTGACTTGTAATTTATATCCTGTATTAGTTGCTTGTCTCATTGCCATGATAAAAATACCCACCAAAAACAATTTAGAGAAAGGAGGGTTTGCTTTGACTCACAGTTTGGGAGTCAGCATACCATGGTGGGGAAGTCACGGCATTAGGAGTGTAAGGTTGAGCCATTCACATCGCTTCCAGAGAAAGACGAATGGTGGCCATGCTTGGCTCATTTTCCTTTATTTAGTTCAGGGCCCCAGCACATGGAGCAGTGCTGCTTACACTCAAGGTGCGTCTTCCCACACAATTAAGATCATCCAGAAACTTCCTCACAGATGTGCCCACAAGTTTGTCTCCTAGTGACTCTAGGTCCTGTCAAGTTGACAGTATCAACCAGCCTAAAGCTCTAGTTTGAAAAAAAAAAAAGAAAAATAACTGAGTATCAACCTTGTAGACTATTGTTCCTCCCACACCCGTAGAAACTGAGGAGTTGGTTGGTCAGGATGTGACTCCTGTGTACTACCTGGAGTCACGTGGGAAGTAAGGTGCCCAAAGGTTGAGCAACATGAAAGTGATGCCTGCCCCAGGGTAGCATGAAGTCATCCACGGCAGGCAGCGATTCCTGTCCTCTGTTCTGTAGCCACTTGCTCTGTCACACCTCCCCCTGGCCAGCCTCCATGTCTCAGCAGTCTGCACTCATCCTGTGGCTGAGCTGGGGACACCAACTTCTGAGTTCACTTGGAAGGAGTATCAGCCCAGAGGGAGCAAGGTCTAAGAGCAGGCTGTCCCTGCCTCACAGAAGCTGCTGCAGGGCAGGCCTGTGAGGAGACTGAGGAGTGGGGCTCCACCTAACTCACTCACTCCTCCTGGGAGTTCCTGAAGGTTTCCTTGAGAAGGTGACATCTAAATAAAGACCTGGAAGAGGATGAGTAAGAGTTTCTGTCCCACCTTCAATTACTGTTCAGGTGGCTAATGTCACAAGATAGATCTTGGTGACAGATCCATAGAGCAAGGAAGTGTCAATGAGATTGTTAGAAAGATCAATTGCCCATCTCCTGTGTTCTTAGAGCATTGTCATCTCATGTGCTCGGGATAGGGTTAGGGATCAGGGCCAGGGGTGCTTTCATGCCCCGAGGAGGCTGGGGTCTGGAGATGTCTTTCTTGGCAGCTTGGAAGTCACACCCAGTGAACTATTTCAGTGATGCATAGTATTAAATACACACATGTGCGCACGTGTATACGCGCATGCGCGCACGCGCGCGCGCGCGCGCACACACACACACACACACACACTTTAGCTCCAAGGAGAGAGGAGCAGAGAGCTATGATTTAATGCATGCAATGCCAGTAATCAGCTTGCTCTCTCTTCTTCATTCAGTCTGGGGTTCAGCCCATGAAACAGAGCTACCCACTTTCAGATAGCTCTTCTCTATCAGCTAACATATAACCAAGACAGTCTCCCACAGGCATTTATTGATTCCGAGTGACTGTGGAAAGCAACCTGTGGGGCAGTTTGCTCCGGGGAGAGCGTCTTTCAAGTACTCAGGTGGATAAGATCATAGTCTGTGCCCTTGCCTGGGCGGTCTTCCTTATTGAAAGGCATACAGATTACCTCTGGTCATTGCAGCGCTTCCATTGGCTTGCTTGAGGCCACACTCCAATTGCCAAATGGAGCTAAGGACTTCCTCTGGAATTTTCTTACATTGTTTTATTTTGGGTGTCAACCTTTCTATTTTTGTCCAGCAAACAACTTACTGTTCATTTCCTTTTGGGGATTTTTTCCCCTTTCTTTTTAAGGCGGTACCTCTATTGGGAAAACCTGGTCACAGAGCTGTCCCCAGAGGCCCAGCTATCTTTGCATAGCTGTCACCAAGGCATTTCCATTTAAGCTTCTCTGTCATTTTGAGGTCACAAGAGCACGTGAGTCACAGTCATCCGTGACCTCATCCATTTGAATCTGGTCCAGCAGCTTCGAATTTCATCACTAAATGTGTGGTTTGCTCCTGGCTAATGAAGTAAGCCATTAATAATTCTTTTACAAAACATGGAATTCCCAGTTAATGCTAAATGGGAAAAGAATGCCCAGTTATAGGTCCTCACTGTAGGTCACCTGTGTATAACAAAGAATAGCTTGTCACAGGAGTGACCTTTGCCCTACTTAATAGGCCCCTTTTGCTATGGGGTAGAATGTGTTCTTCTAATCAAAACAGATGGTCCAAGTTTGTCTTCTTACAAGAACATATTTACTATGGAGTAATATACTATATACACAATAGAATATTATTCAGCCTTTATTTGTTTCCAAGGTCTGATTATTTATTTGTTCCTCCTAAAGTCTTATATTTGACTGGACTAAAGAATTAGAAGTAGAAACTTTCATCGAGGATAGACTGCATTTCTTGGCAGTCTGTTCCTAGTGTTTTTTTTTTTTTTTTTTTTTTTTACTTCCTTCTCTGGGCCAAGAATTTAGCACATTCAGGTGCCTTCTCCTTGTTTTCCTTAGTATGTTGTTTTTTCAGATCAATATGTCAGCATTTGTGTTACAGGACACATGGAGTGACAACGCACTGAATCTTGGGTGCTTTGGCCCTGGGCTTCTCACCTTCCTGGTTTAATTGCTTTCTGACAAGATATTGGCTGACATCATCTCTTTTAGAGAGATTGAGAAGCTCTCTGATCCAACTAGCTCTTTAGGCCCCAACCGAAGAGGCACAGTAGTATCTGTCAGTCCAGGAATATCCTTCTCTCCTTGTTTTTATACAATAACCAAGTTGAGAACATTCAGATTGGCATCCACAATGCATCCTCAAACAGACTAACACTCCCTCCCTCTTTCTCTTCTATAACAAGAATGCCCCTTATTCAACAGGAGGTACATTCTGCCATTAGTCAACATATTTTGCTTCATTGGAAAACCTTATTTGTCATTCCCATCACTGATTTGGACCATATAATCCTTCCATTCTTCACCCAAAGCATCAGGAGCTACTTATGTGACCATATTCTTCTCATGGAATGTATGAAGCTACATTAATCATCCGTGTTGATTTCTGACAGCCAGTAGCCAGGAAGGAAGCATTCGGCTTCATCTTGGCACAGATAATTGCCTAGGAGGCACCATGAAAAAGAGCTATTCAACCTTTTGAAAAGGAGAGAATTCAGGACTGGGAGGTTCTCAGTGGTTAAGAGCATATGGTGCTCTTACAGAGGACCTAAATTCAGTTCCCAGCTTCAAGGCTGGGTGGATCGCAGCTACAGATCTGTCAATAAAGCTCTAGGGAACTGGACACCCTCTGGGCCCCAAAGGCATTTGTGAGTACACATGTGTGCTCACAAACACACAGACATACACACATGCAATACACACACACACACACACACACACACACTTTTAAAAAATCCTTTAGAAAGTCTTTAGAAGGATAAAATTCTAAGCTGGGGAAGTGGCCTAGTCAGTAAAGCACGTATAGTTACGAGCATGACCTGAGTTCAATCCTTATAATTCATGCAAATGAATAAATAAAGTCAAACATGATAGCATGCATGGGTAATTCCAGTCCTAAAGAGGCAGAGACAAGCAGGTCCTAAAGTTTGATGTCCCCCCAGTCCAACCTATTCAGTGAGCTCTAGGCCAATGAGATAGTCTGCCTCAAAAAATAGGGTAGGGGAACAGTATCTTTCAAAAGATTTGGGGGAGCCGGGTGTTGGTGGCGCACGCCTTTAATCCCAGCGCTCGGGAGGCAGAGGCAGGCGGATCTCTGTGAGTTCGAGGCCAACCTGGTCTACAGAGTGAGTTCCAGGACAGCCTCCAAAGCCAGAGAAACCCTGTCTCGAAAAACCAAAAAAAAAAAAAAAAAAAAAAAAAAAAAAAAGATTTGGGGGTAACTATAAGTAAGCAAGTGAAAAAAATTGTGTAAGTAAAAACTTTCAGACATTGAACAAAGAACTTAAAGACGATATTAGAACATGTTCATGGATTGGTAGGATTAATAAAAAAAATGTCCATCCTACCAAAATCAACCTACAGATTCAATGTAGTCCCCATCCAAATTCCAACATAATTCTTCACGGAACTTGAAAGGACAACTTTCAGCTTCATAGAGAAACACAAAAAACTCAGGACAGCTAAAACAATACTGAATAATCAAAGAACTGCTGGAGGTATAACCACCCCCAATTTCAAATTTTACTACAGAACTATAATAATAAAAACAGCAGGGTATTGACATAAAAATAGACAAGCTGATCAATGGAACTGAAGACCTAGATATAAGTTCACAGATCCATGGACACCCGATTTTTTTAAAGAAGTCAGAAATTCGTACTGGAAAAAAAGATAGCATCTTACAAATGGTGCTAGTCAAACTGGATGGCTGCATGCAGAAGAATACAGATAGATCCACACTTACCACCCTGCATAAAACTCAAATCTAAATCTATCAAAGATCTCAACATAAGACCAGATACACTGAATATGATGGAAGAGATAGTAGGAAATAGCCTTGAACTAATTGGCACAGGAAGACCTTCTCCACAGAATGTAGGCACTAAGAACAACAATTAATAAATTGAACCTAATAAATTGAAAAACTTTGGGATGGCAAAGGACACCATCATTCAGACAAAGCAGCAGGCTACAGAATGAGAATTGTTATATTAACTACACATCTACCAGAGAGCTAATATATAAAATATATAAATAACTAAAAAAACTGGACATCAAGAAAAATGACCCAACTAAAAATGGCACACAGATCTAAACAGAAAGTTTTCAATTGGTGAAACACAAATGGCTGAGAAACACTTAAAGATATGTTCAACATTCTTTGTCATCAGGCAAATGCAAATAAAAACTACACTGAGGTTTACTCTTAACCCAGTAAGAATGGCCAAGATAAATAAAACAAGTGACAGCTCATGCTGACAAGGATGTGGGGTAAGGGGAACACCTACTCATTATTGGTGGTAGTGCAAATTGTACAGCAGCTATGGAAATCAGTGTGGTGGTTCCTCGGTCAACTGGGGATAGATCTACCTCAGGATCCAGCTATACCCCTCTTGGGCATAAGGCCAAAGGATGCTTCATTCCACTGCAAAGACATTTCCCCAACAATACCCGTTTTTTGCTCTAGTCATTATTTCCAGAAATCAGTAACAGTCTAGATGTCCTTCAACATTAGAATGGATAAAGGAAATATTGAACAATTATACAATAGAATAGTACTCAGCTGTTTTAAAAAAATCATGAAATTCACAGGTAAATGATTAAAGGTAGAAAAAGTCATCCTGAGTGAGATAACCCAAACCACAAAACACAAATATAGTATGTATTCATTTATATGTTGATGTTGGCTGTTAAGTCTTTGGTAGAGAAGCTACAATATGTATACTCACAGATGTTAGTTATCAGGTAAGGGATTAGGAGGGAGGGAAGTATCTTCTGAGGAATAAGAAATAGGATATATAGTTATGAATGAATGGAGGAAGGTCTGGGATGGGAAGACTAAATTAGGAGAGGAAGGCAGAGGCAGGTAAAGGTATGGAAAATGATACTAGAACTAAGCCATCTGAGGAGACATGTGGAAAACAAATACAGTAGAGGCTTCTTAAAATAAATGCATATATGAAAGAAATCTAAATGTAATTACCAAATAACAGGGGAGACAGAGCCCTAACTAGACATCTCTCATCATCAAATGAAACTCCCAGTTCTAGGAATGGGTTACATCTAATCAAGTAATTGACTAAAGAGGCCCATGGAAACCCCTCAAACAACCTAGATCATTGCCAAGACTATACAGAAACTGGTGATAAGGTCATATTGTTAAAGACTCAGTATAACACACACACACACACACACACACACACACACACACACACACCGGAAATGGCTCAGAGTCAGGTGAATGTCTGGAATTCATTGGCCACCTTGATTACTGAAATGGACAATCTCCAGATTCAGCAAGAGACCCTGCCTCAAAAAATAAGGTGGAGAAAGACTGAGGAAAGCTCCCAATGTTGACTTTTGACCTCCACACATACATGCACATGTATGTATGCTTACCCACACACAAACATTGCATACATCCACATTCATGTATACATAGCATTACACATACTCTAAATGTATATGTGTATATATGTATGGATGCATGTATGTATGTATAAAGAAATGTAGCCTCAGGTTCGGCCAGCCCTGTTTATTGGAAATCCCATTTAACAATATGCCTAAGTGCTGCATATGAAGGTTGAAGTTGGTGGAGGGCTGCTCTGGACCAATGATGAACAGATGGGGGTTTTGAAAACTCACTAACTTGACTGAGTAGGTTTGGCCAGGCATCAGGATTTACAACTGCTCCACTGAGTGATCTTTGAACTCAGTCAACACTGGGGTTCATAGACCTAGGTCATCTTCTAGCATCTGGCCCTTTAGCGCTCCCATGGTTTTCTCACCTCACTGCACAATTATTTCCTGGAATATTACTTTTGAATTTCCATTCAAAAGTGTGGAGCAAGCTGGAGCTCTACTCACAAATGTCATTCTCTTGTTTTCTCTTTCACCAGTGCAAGACCACACTAGCGATGTGTGGTGACTGGTTTAGTTGAGCACATCATGAAAACATGAACTATTTTAGATTGCTGTTTTCTAGCAATCTGGATATAACTGTGTCTGAAATGGGCCTGTGTTTCCTGATTCTTAGACAGCAGTTGTTAGTATCCAGGCATCTGTATTGGCCTGACCTTGGGGTTCTGACAGGATACGCCCTCAGCTGCAGCCACTAAGAACACCACCTGGCTGGGCGGTGGTGGCGCACGCCTTTAATCCCAGCACTCGGGAGGCA